TTCAGGAGGAGTCCCTGCTTCCCATGTTCAGCTTAAGACACCATATCTTGGCTCCAGGCACAGACCAGGGGCGCCCCTCCCCAGCTAGGTCAGCAAGCCAGGGGTCTGATGGACATGACGCCCTTGCCATTTCTCTCCAGGAGGCATGTGTCACCTCAGGCCGGGCACTCAGCCAAGGGGCTGGGACCCTGGCACCGGCCACACCTTGTGACCTGGTCTACATGGCCTGCTGGCAGTCGGTAGGCAGTTAGTCTGTCTGCCTAGGAACTGCTTAGCAAAAGAAATGGCCTTATTTTACAGTCTACCTACTCCTACCCACTTTTTTGTTTTTACACACATCTCAGCTCAGTATCTCCCAGTCACTACAAAGGTCCTTTAATATCACATAGCGTAAATATACTTGGGCTTAAAGGTGGATGAAGGATAATTCTGAAAGCGAATTAGAATTCACTTTGTGTTGGGTTAAATTTGTAAAAAATCGCTCAGAACAGTCATCTGTAACTCCTGACAGTTGTCAGCTAGCTGTACAGAGAGCTGGAGAGAGAGGGTAATGATCACAGCTTGCGTGGTGACCAGCGCCCTTTCCTCACATGCGCCCATCTAAGTGGATGCTGGGTACTGGCCAATGAACCATTCTGGCCCAGTATTAAAGGGACTGAGACCTGGGATCTATGTCCCAGGGATTAAGGGTCCACCACAGCTGAGAAAAGGGTGCTAATGACATCCTCCTGTGCTGGGCCTTTCCACAGAAGGAGGGCACATTGTAGCTGTGACAGTGCCCTGCGGCTGCCTTGGGGCCACCAGCAGTGCTTTCCCAGGCCCGCAGTTTCTGCATTTTCCTTTCAGGCTGCCAAACTTGTCTGTGCCGCCTCCAACCTCTGTCTTTTGTGGTGAATGCATGTGGAAGAGTCGTGGGAGGAACGGGGAAAGCCCTGGACAGAGTCCAGCTGCCCTGAATCCTTCTGAAAGTTTAGGACTCAAGTCTGCATAAAGTTCAAGGTGGTTTGGTTGTTCATTTGTCATAAAGTATCTTCCTTCTTCCTCATGTCAGAGTGAAAACAGAGAAAACAGCTTGAACTAGAGTGAACTGCAGGAGGGGAACCTTGCCTGGATAGGTCCCACACCACAGGCTGGGGAATGCATGGGGCCTCGTGGGGCCCTGAAAATCCAGTCTTGGGTGTAAGCAGACAGCACCCCTCCTCTCCTGTCACTGAAGCCTGGTGGCACGCGGCTGTGGAGAAGGCGGGTGACAGCTTTCAGCCCATGACTGCTGGGGACCCACTGGCCTCTCTTCTTCAAGGTTCACTTTGTTGGGATCCTTCAGGACACCCCTGAGAAAGAGGGCAAGCCTCCTGACTCGACCAACACTCCAGAGGAGCTCCATGGCCACAAAGGGTTTCCTGACCCCACCTGAGGCTGAAGCCGGGGTGACCTGGGGACTGGGAGCCCCAGAGACGCAGGAGCAGCCCTCCTGCCACAGGCCCTGGTCCGTGGGCTGCGGCACGCTTTGCTTTCCCCCCTGCGCAGGGCAGTAGGAAAAGTCTAATTCCGTGCAGCAAACATGGCACCTAACCTCTGTGTCCTTCTTTCTGAACTTTCTGTGCTGTTATGATCCTTAAAATACATGAGGCATTTTCCAGTCCTTCTATATTAACCACACCCACGGGTGTTATGTGATCACATACACTCCACATGTATTTCAGCCTTTGCCCAGTGGGCTCTGAGATGACTTGCCAACGAGGCCAAAAGAACAAGCAGGTCTAAGGGCCCCTCACTGGTAACACCTGCCCAGTAGACACTTATTTTAAGCTGTGGGTGTCATAAACAATCACCCCACGATAATGTTCCCTTGTGTGTGGAGTTAAAATGCTGAGTTCAGTCACTCCAAACTGTGTTCCGGGAGTGCTGAGGGCCGGCAGCTGCCTCTGGCATGCTGGGGTTAACCTGTCTCCAAAGGGCAAGTGACAGTGGTTTTTCTAAATCGATGCTGTCAGTAGCTCCCTCTGTCGGCACCTCAAATGTCAGCATCCCCAGGGGTTTATCCCAATCTGGTGTCCTGTTGCTGGGCAATTTCAGCCCCACTCTGGCTTCCGGGGTGTGTGCGCTTGTATCCTTGTGTACACATCTGAGTGTGTGTGTGTGTGTGTGTGCTCGGGAGAGAGGAAGCAGGGGGCGGTGGGGAGGAGGTTTGGAGCACCTCAGGGACGGGCTCACATGGAATTCCCAGGAATGCTGATGCACAGAGGGCCCATGCCCTGGCCCCCTTCCCTCACCAGTCTCCCCGAGATCAGAGGAACCTGTGACCTGCCTACAGGCCCTGCCAGCCCTGGAGTCTAGGTGTTCCCACACAGGCTCTCCCTGGCCCACCAACACCCACTGCCACCGAGACGGGCCCTCAGGCTTCCCTCAGCCTGGCGGCTCCCTGCACTCCCACTTTCCGTCGGAGCCTGGTCCGGGCCTAGCTGTGGAGCCCCCGCGCTGCCCTGGCCCCTAAGGCAGGCATTGCAGTGCCGGTCCAGGCCACCCTACCCAGTGCACTCTCCAGGCAGATCAGGGCCCTCCCCACAGGCCACCAGCCTCAGGCTCCTCCTGACGCATCTTCACTGCATGTGGTGTGTCCCCAGCAAGCACAGGCCCCTCTATCTGCACCAGGAGGCTCTCTATGCGACACCCTCATTCCATCTCGTCTCACATCCAGGGTGGTTGTGAATGAGCCAGTTTTCTGTGACAGCCAAAATCGAAATAATCTCCAATCACCCTCATGCTGAGTGTGTGTGTCTGGCATACAGTGAAAGAAGGATAACGGCCTAGTGGCCAAATCAGCCTTATAATCTTACCACTGCCTTCTAAGTTCTACTTCCTGGAAATCAGCGTTTCTGTTTCATGTCAGTGATGAGTCAAGGCTTGTCAAGGTGACCTGCTGTTTGACACCATCTCTTGTTTCCCTGTAGCAGAACCCCTGCCTGCATAGTAAAGGTGAACAGTAAGGTGACATTGAGTTTTCTTTAGTTATGCCAGCTTCACTGAACATACAGATCAAGGAAAGAACTGGATGGAAGGGGTAATAAAAATATGAGGAAGACTTATAAAGCCCATGTGAAATACCAGGTTAGTCAAATCAGTAATTGTATTTTGTTTAAACCCTCTGAAGCGGCATCTTTTGGAAGCTGGGCTGTTGTTTGATTAGGGCAGCTGAGGCGCAGGCTTGGCCCCAGGTCCACACTGGTGTCAGGGAAGTGCCTTGTGGATGTTCCTCTGAGCCAGGTCTGAGAAGGGCCAAGAGATGGAGGCTTTCTTCAAAAGCGGGGCTCACCAGACTTTGTGGGGTGCTTTAACCACCTGGCAGTGGAGCCTGTGTTCCCGTGAGGGGGCAGAGACAGGTAGCACTGGACAGACACGTGCCCCTAAACGCTAGCACCACCCCTGGGTGCCCCCAAGCCTGGTCTGGCCTTCCTACTGTGGGTGGTGTGGCTGCTTCCTGGCTGACTACCTCTCCTCTCTCCCTAACAGGAAAAGAGGGCTCAGGGGAGGTCTTCCCTTAGGAAGCAAAAAATCACCAAATTGTAAGCATTCCCATTTTAACTATTCAACCTGACTCCCTCCCAGCGGATGGTACCGGGTGCTCCAGACCCCACTCCATGTGCATCCTGCGGTGCGTGCTGCCCTGGCACCCAGCTCGCCCTGGGGATGGGGTGGGGGCTGTGTGGGGGAAGAGGCTGGAGCCAGGCCCAGCTCAGAGCAGGCCACTGGAGGGACAGAGGGTGTGTGGGTAGGCAGCTCGCCCCTCTGCTCCTTCTTCAAATGGTGCCCCCACCAAAAACCCCAATGGTTAGGCACTATCATACATTTCCTGGCTACCAGCGACTGTGGCTGTAGGCCTTGTGACAGCTGAGGCTCTACCATGCCGCAGAGCAGCATCTCTCTGCACCCCCAATTATGCCTGCATGGCCAGTGAACTCTGCTCCCTGAACCTCGAGCTTCTCAGAGGCAGGGGTGCTGAGCAGAGAAGCGAGTTCTCTCAAAGCTCACATGGCCAGCAGCCCGGCCCCTCACCAGGGTCGCAGGGATGTTGGGCAGAGGAGCCCCTCAGCACCACTGTCAGCAGAGAGACTCCTATGGGGGACAAATAATGCCAGCCCCCTGATTCCCCGTGTGTATGACTTTCACGGAGAAGTTACTGTCCCTCCTGACAGTGGGACGTTTCATAGCTGAGCAGGAAAGTGGCCTCAATTTTTATAAAAAGGCTGTGGAGCTGGGATCTGAAGTACTATTCTGAGTGAATTCCCCTGTAGGAAATGCCTGCTCGGTTATTTGACAGTGAATGTGTGCCCTAGATTTACCAGGAATTCAAATACTAATAGATGGATTTTTAGGAGCTGGAATTTTGAACTTCTCGTCATTTCATATCTTTCCAGTAAAGGAAGGTCTTGAGTGAAAGTTAAGTTATGTGCTTGTACAAGACTGCACAAATCAGGAGATGCTCTGTCAGGGTCTGAGTTCTGGTTCAGGAAAACAAGGCTGTGGTGCAGAAAACCCAGGCAGTACTGAGCCACCTTCTCTGTCAGATGAGCCAAGGGAAAGCTAGATGCAGGTGCATGCCTGGAACCTTCAGCCAATTTAGTTCCAATCCTGACACAATCACAATCTCCACAAAGCCAGCAGGCAGACCTGTCTTTCTGAACAGTGCTCTCTTGAAACTGGTTATCAAAAATACTTTTATAGTACAAAGACTATAAAAAGGAAAAAAAAACCAAAAGCCCTTGGTTAAAGGTAAAAAGAAAAAACTGCTAAGACCTTAAAAATCTGGACTGCTGCAGCCCCAAACCATCATCAACAAAATGCCGCTGGCTACTGGGAGCTGCCGTTTCTAAGGGCTGTCAGCACCCCAGTACTCTGAGGGCTGCTGTTCTGGGCACCTGCATCATCATCTTGAGGCATCTTAGCAACGTATCATAAGCAGGGATGACCCTCAGCACCACTGTCAGCAGAGAGACTCCTATGGGGGACAAATAATGCCAGCCCCCTGATTCCCCGTGTGTATGACTTTCACGGAGAAGTTACTGTCCCTCCTGACAGTGGGACGTTTCATAGCTGAGCAGGAAAGTGGCCTCAATTTTTATAAAAAGGCTGTGGAGCTGGGATCTGAAGTACTATTCTGAGTGAATTCCCCTGTAGGAAATGCCTGCTCGGTTATTTGACAGTGAATGTGTGCCCTAGATTTACCAGGAATTCAAATACTAATAGATGGATTTTTAGGAGCTGGAATTTTGAACTTCTCGTCATTTCATATCTTTCCAGTAAAGGAAGGTCTTGAGTGAAAGTTAAGTTATGTGCTTGTACAAGACTGCACAAATCAGGAGATGCTCTGTCAGGGTCTGAGTTCTGGTTCAGGAAAACAAGGCTGTGGTGCAGAAAACCCAGGCAGTACTGAGCCACCTTCTCTGTCAGATGAGCCAAGGGAAAGCTAGATGCAGGTGCATGCCTGGAACCTTCAGCCAATTTAGTTCCAATCCTGACACAATCACAATCTCCACAAAGCCAGCAGGCAGACCTGTCTTTCTGAACAGTGCTCTCTTGAAACTGGTTATCAAAAATACTTTTATAGTACAAAGACTATAAAAAGGAAAAAAAAACCAAAAGCCCTTGGTTAAAGGTAAAAAGAAAAAACTGCTAAGACCTTAAAAATCTGGACTGCTGCAGCCCCAAACCATCATCAACAAAATGCCGCTGGCTACTGGGAGCTGCCGTTTCTAAGGGCTGTCAGCACCCCAGTACTCTGAGGGCTGCTGTTCTGGGCACCTGCATCATCATCTTGAGGCATCTTAGCAACGTATCATAAGCAGGGATGGTGTCGAAGAGGAGAAGCCAGCTGCACACAGAAATACGACAAGTGTCCAACCTCAAACTTTTTCAGTCAGTAAAAAGGCCAGGCAGGGAATTCACGGGTTGTGTGGTTCATGGCCAGATCCAACTCTAGGCATGTGGAAGCTGCAGTTTCCATTCTCATAACAGGACCTGAGGATCTGAATGGACTTGCACCTCTCTGCTGCGTGCGTAGATAGGAGAAACAGGCTGGACGTGCTGTGTCCTTGCAAAGGGTGTGTGGGTTTGCTTTAAAAGTCTGTTCACCATGGCTTCACATCGGGATTACCCTTAAGAAACACATTTCTCATGATGATCACCTGAGGTTACCCTAAGTTGGTGGGAAGAGCCCATGTGTCCCTGATGTCCATCACGCTGGCCACCGTGCCTTTTTCTGTAAGTTTCCATGCCTTCCTCATGCAGATGTTGCAGCTGGTGGGAGGTGAGCGGCTAGACCGGTGAAGATGAAAGAGGGCTGATCATCTGGTTTCTGCTAGCAAGGAGGTGGTCTGATGTTCTCAAGAAAGTGCTGAAAACTGTCTGGTTCTGACACTCACTGGCCATCACCCCAAGATCACTGTGCCCGGGCGCCACCTCCCCACACACCTCAGCAGATGCCCAGCCGACAAACCCACAGGCCTCAGAGGCAGGGCCTTAGGAGTCTCAGGGATCATGTAAGCTTGTGTCACTTTATGTCATGCTCTAGGGAGGGAGGCTGGAAATGGCAACACAGATGCCTGCCCGCCCTGCACAGCCCACAGCCCTCACCATGGGGCTCTGGGTGGTCAGTCTCAGAGGAGGGACAAAGGGCAAGGCTTCCTCTCAGGAAACTTCAAGGACAGGCCCTGTCACAGGAAGAGCGAGAGAGAAGGAAAATGTGGACAGGCCATGGAGTGGCGACTTGGCCCTGTGTCAGGAAGAGCTGTGTCTGCGTGCTTCAGTGTGTGTGTACTGTAAGTGGGGGGCACAAAGGGTATTTAAAAGCCCCCAGTCATCCGACAGAGAATAGCATGTGGTTACTCAGAGACACATTTGCAATGTGACATTAACCCCTGGGCCCAGCCCCGTCTCTGCAAACAGCCAGGTGTGTCGGGGCCCATGGCCAGGGGCCAGCCTTGGGCAGGTTTCCGGTGCCACGAGGTCACTGGGCAATGATGCTGTCTTCAAAGCCTCCCCTTGGGGGAACTTTGCAACTTAACCCTGAGTGCTGCCTGTGCCCAGAAAACCTGCCATTCTTCTCCCCACATAGATGCCGACAGAGGAACACAAAATAAGGAAGGGGATCATAAACCAAACCCCAGCAGAGGCGGCCCCCAACTGCCCATTTAAAAAGTCAGGTTTTGTTTTCATCATACATATCCAGAGAAGGTTCGATGGTCGAGAATTCACTTTCATAAACCAGGCTCCGTGGGGACAAAGAGTTTCGATGAAAGAAGTGGCCACCTGGAAAGGAACAAGAGAAATGGATTTACTAGGTCATCAGGATTCTGCCCCCCAACACGGCCTGGAGGAGAGCTCGCAGATTATCTCCAAAGCATCACATTTTCTCACATATCTCCATTTTGGGCTTATATCAGAAATGAAAGGAGTTCAGGCATCCTTCCATCTAAGGGCATGTTACACAGGTGAATTCCAGTGTGGGGGTGCTCAAGGGATTAGCCCTGGAGCTCCCAAGGCAAAAGCTGCCTGGTGTGTGTGCTTAAAGTGTGGAGTTTCCTGGCTCTCTGGTAATTCTTCCTCTTCCCCCAGCAAAGGATGCAATCCTGGGGAGGATCCCATCTGAGCACCTGTTCTGGGCTGAGCCCAGGGCTGGGGCTGAGCACAGGGCCACTCGTCAGCTGGACGGACTGGGCCTTGTGCCTTTGAGGCTCTACAAATGCATTAAAGAGCTATGGTTTGCATTCAAGTCTGACTTTCACGTGGTTTAGGTCACGAATTCCACCCGTGTGAAGACCAGTGAATCTCCCGGACACAGCCACATTGAGCTGATTCTCGTAGGATTTACCTCCATGTCTCTAAATACTATGCCTATGTTGATCCTTCCTAATTTCTTCAGGCTTAGACTTTACCTACCAGACTCCCACTCTGGAAGGTGAGCACTTCCCCCCAACTCCCTCTGCCGCAGCCATACACACTTTCCATTGCCCCAATCTAATTACATTTTGATAAAAAAAATTCAATGCATTTAATATTGACTATCTGTGCTACTCAGAGCTGAGCTGTGCTTATGTTCCCTCTTCTGAACAACTGTGGTTTTTATAGCTTTATCAAAGTATAACTGAAATACGGTGAAATGCATGTATTTAAAGCACACATCTGAGTCTTGACATAGGTACACACCCATGAAACCACGACCAGATTGAAGCTACTGAACATTACCATCCCCCAGGACAGTTTCCTGGTGCCTCTGGTATTTTTCTTCCCCTCGTTTATGCCCTACCCTACCCCAGGTAAACAGATTGGACCGCATCTTTGCAGAATTTTACCTGAGTGGAAGCGGATAGTGATTCACTGGCTCTTACAAATAAAGCTGCTATGAGCATCCCTGCTTCATTTCTCTCGGGGTGACTCTTAGACTGAGTAGGTGCTTACTTTCCTGAGTTGGGTGTACGATCGAACACCCCACCTGCAGCGTGTGAGCGTTCCAGATCCTCCCATCCTCACCAACACTGAGACGCTCAGTAATGTACATTTTGGCCATTCTGGTGGGAGTGCAAGAGTAGCTCACCGTGGTTTTAATGGGCATTGACCTGATACTGGGCATCTTTTTATGTGCTTATTAACCTCTGGTATGTTTTTTTGGGAAGCATTTTGTTAAAATCTTTTGCCTATTTAAAAAAATTGAGTGGCTTGCCTATAACTGAGTTGTACAGGTTTTCTTGGGAGTTTTTTATTTGCTTATTTATTGGGGTTTTGTAGAGTATTTATTGGGTTGTAAGAGCTGTTAAAAAATATATGGTAAGCTGCTCACCTCTGGAGCATGACTGTGTTCCCTTCTCGAGGCTGGGCTTTGCTTTACTCTACTCTTTGCTTGAGACACACACACACATATTCTAGACACAAGGCCTTTGTCAGATGTTTTGCAAGTATTTTCTCCCAGTCTGTGGCCTAGCTTTTTATGTTCATAACAATGTCCTTTGAAGAGCAAAGTTTTAAATTGGGATAAAATCCAATGTACTGCTTTTTCCTTTTATAGGTTGTGCTTTCTGTGTCCGAATAAAGAAATCATTGCCAAACCCAAGGTCACTGATTTTCTCCCATGTGTTTACCCAGAAGTTTTATGTTTGGCTCTTATGTTGAGATGATCCACTTCAAATACATTTTTTATAGGGTGGGAAACAAAGGTCAAGTTCACTTTTTTTTGCACGTGGATATCCAATTGTCCCAACATCATTTGTTTAAAAGATTATTTTCCCATTGAACTGCCTTGGCACCTTGGCTCAAACTGCTGTCTGTGTATGTATGAGCTTTTTTAGGCACCACTCTGTTCAGGCAATCCATTTCTTTGCATTAATACCACACTGTGGTGATCACTACAGCTTCATACATCCTGAAATCAGGCATTTTAAGTTCTGCAACTTTTTTCTTATTTTTCAAATGGTGCAACAGGGTAGAGAGGAGAGGAAGGCTGGTGCAAAGAGTATAGACGGGCATTAAGTGAAAGCATTTCACACACTGGTGTGAGTGGAAGGACCACTGGTATCCTCCTGTTTAACTTGCCTATATTAAAAACCTTCTGCATTTAAAAAACTAGCATGAGTTCAGAGACCCTTTGCTATCTGCACAAAGCAGCCCGAGAGTAGTCGCAAGTGGGACATGGATGTTGATCTCTGACAGCTGAGTCACAGTCTCCAGAGGAGTCTGCATAACTCAGTGGGGCTCAAGCATTAAAGATTTAAACAAACACCCCCAAAAAGCAGTACAGATGAGGGGGTTCCCTATCCTGTAGGAAGAGAGAAGCTGTCCACAGAGGAAACAACCTAACGGTTGTGTTTTGTACTGATCGGCTGACACCAAATCTTAGGCAATAAAAAATGGGTGAGAATTTCCCAGGCATGTACCTGGCTGCTAACCAACTGACTTGAGAGAAATACAATATTGAGAGGAATACACACGCAGCTGAGTTCCAGAGAAGGGCATGATGCTGACTGGCCAGGAACCACCGCATATTTTTCAACACCTAGAAACACACACTATTTCATGACCAACAGGTAATTATTATTTTTGTTATTGGCTATACAATGTACAATGTTAAGTAAACTCTTAATTGATGTAAAACCTACACACAGAAATGCACACAAATCCTGAGTACCCAGCTCAATGAATTTGTGCTGAGAGGGAACACACTGGTAAAGTCAACACTGGGTCAGGAACTAGGCCCTACCAGCACCCCAAGTCCCCTACTGACCCCAGTCACTCCGTGCTTCCTTCTCCCCCAAAGGAAACCACAGTCCAGGTTTCTCACACCACGGGCTGGGTTCTTATGGTTTTAATTTTACATAAATGGAAACAGAGTATATATTCCCTTGTGTCTGAATTCCTCCATGCCACTGAGTGTAGCCATGCATGGCTCTCTTTGCTGCGGCATGATCTTCCGTTGTATGCCCACCTCCCATTTGATAGATCTGATCTTCCGCTGCTGGGTCCCTGTGCTGGGTCCCTGCTGGAGCCACTGTGAGGATTGCTGGTAGGAACAGTCTTGTATTTATCTTTTGTCCACACGTGCGTGTGATTCTCATGGGTTATGCCTAGGGGGTGGAACTGCTATGTCTCAGGCTGTGTATATATTCAGCTTTGATATCTATCTATATTAAGTACTAATACTTGATATTTTCTGTATTTTTTTGTTTTCACACTTCTGGTGGGTGTATGTCATTGTGGTTTTAATTTATATTCCACTGATGGCTAAAAAGGATGAGCGCTTTTTCATGTTTTTAGGCTATTTGTACATCCTGTTCATCCTGAAATGCCTGCTATTTTTAAAACATTTTGTTAGGTTATTTATTATTTATATCAAGTGTACATCATGACTCAATATTTATATATATTGAGAAATGGTCACCATGATAAGTCTAGTTAATATCCATTCACCAGTTACAAAAACTTTTTTCTAGTGGTGAGAACTTTTCAGATCTACTCTCTTAGCAACTTTCAAATATACAATACTTGTTAACTATATTGTTAACTGTAGTCACCATGCTGTACATTACATCCCCAGGACTTATTGTGTTATGACTGGAAGTTTATACCTTTTGAGCCCTTCACACATTTCATCTGACCCCTCAATTTCTCACTTCTAGCAACCACTAGTCTGTTCTCTATATCTATGAGCTTGGTTTAAGAATGTTTTTTATTTTTTAGATTCCACATATCAGTGACATCATACGGTATTTGTCTTTCTCTGCCTGGCTTATTTCTCTTAGCATAATGCCTTCAAGGCCCTCCATCTTGTTGCAAATGGCAAAATTTCGTTCTTTTCAATGGCTGAATAATATTCCACTGTGTATATAGGCACACACATACAAACTGCATTTTCCTTATCCATTCATCCATCAATGGACTCTTATGTTGTTTCCATATCTTGACTATTGTAAGTAATGCAATGAATGTGGGGCTGTACACATCTTTCTGAGTTGGTGTTTTCATTTTTTTTCAGATAAATACCCAGAAGTAGAATTGCTGAATCATATGGTATTTCTACTTTTAATTTTTTGGGAAGCTCCATACTCTTCCACAGTGGCTGCACCAATTTGCATTCCCACCAGTGTGCATCAAGGATATCTTTTCTCCACATCCTCGCCAGCCCTTGTTATCTCTTATCTTTTTGGTAGAAGCCATTCTGACTGGTGTGAGGTGATATCTCAGTGTGGCTTTGATTTGCATTTCCCTGATGATTAGTGATGTGGAGCATCTTTCCATGTGCCTGTTGGTCATCTGTATTTCTCCTTTTTCCAAATGTCTATTCAGGTCCTCTGCCAATTTTTAAATTGGATTATTTGTTTTTTAACTGTTGAGTTGCATGAGTTCTTCATGTATTTTGGATAGTAGCACCTTATCAGGTATATGATTGGCAAATATTTCCTTCCCTTCGGTAGGCTTCCTTTTCATTCATGATTTCCTTTGTTGTGCAGGTGCCCATGTATTTCTTTTGCTCACTTTTCTATCAGGTTGTCAGTCTGCCTTCCTTATTTTATATAAAGATTCTATATCTTCTTTCTATTCATATAAAGTTTTTCTTCTTTATTCTGAATATGAATCCTTTGTCAATTATAAATATTGCAGGTCTCTTCTTCCAAAACAGTGTATTCCAATGAACAGATTTTCTTCATTTTAGTGTGGACCAGTTCACCTATCTTTTATTCCACATTAGTGTTTTTGAGTCCTGTTTAAGAAATCTTTGCCTATCCCATGGTTTTGAAGATATTTTATTTTCTTTTAGAAAC